TTTTTCCTGTCCATTTTCAGCCTCTCCATTGAGTTGGACCTTTTGTTATTACAGTTTATTGTCCATGCAGAGAATCACTGACAGCCCACTACCAAGTAGTTGGTGTTTTACATAATTAGCAACGCAGCGGTCAGATGCTGTTTATTTATATGTATTTTTTTTTAAATTTCCTTTCTGTGATGTTTAATTTTACCATAAATCTTGTGGAGAGCAGACATCTTTATCTCACTCTGTCCTCCTCCTCTGTGGCTCACCTGGCCCTCTCGCTTCCCACCCCCACTCTCAGCATCACTGTCCATGAGAGAGCGCACTGGCTCTTGTCCGGAGGCTCCGTCTTCGTGTCTGTCACTCATTATTGTTGTTTCTTTTTATTTCATGGTGCTGCATCCCCTTGTGTTAAATTCCTCTCAGGCCACATCAGATCAGCGCTGCCTGCCCAAACCTTTCATAACCCTCCCACCCCCGTTCCTGTTCTGTGCCACAGAGTAGTTGGCAACCACTCACATTTCTTTTCCCAGTCTAAACCCCTCTGCTCTGTTGCTGTTCTCTACTACCCACCTCGTCCTCTCCTCACCTCAGCCCCAAGCCCCTCTCCTCCCCACCTGTTCCCCACCCTCTTTCCCAACTCCTGGTCACAAAGAGAAGGTGTGCTGGTGGCGCAGTTGTCAATACAAGATAATGTGTTAAGTTATTACCTTCCTTTTCCCCAACTTGGTGGTGGGATGGTTATAGAAGATCTCTCTCTCTCTCTCTCTCTCTCTTTTTAAACCCCTCTTTCCCAACTCTGTGTGGCCGCAATCACATTAATTTGAGCCGCTCTGAAACCGCCCATCCTCCCCAAGCTTGTCTTTAAAAATAATATTATAATCAGTGCATGTCAGCTGCTTATTTAGTCAGTGTAGTGTTGGGGAAAAGTTATGAAGAATTCTTATTTTTTTGTGTAGCATTTAGCAGTCTTATTTTTTCCTTTTTTTAGTTTTTAAACCTTTCGTAAGTGTGTTCATAAATGTTTGCTGGACTGCTTCTTCTTTATTCGTTTATTTATTTTTTTATCAGGTTTTGCTTTCTGTCCTTCTCTCTTGTTCTTCTTGTAACGCCTTGCTTCCTTTTGGCTAAAATGGTTCCTGACAGGATCCTGAGTGTGAATGCCAGTATCGACACTATTGGAGAGATTCTGTTGAAAATCATACCGACTCTTGAAGAGGTAAGCTGTCATAATAATTGTGCATATAAACAAAGAGCAGAAAGGTTGATGGTATCTGTTTATGAGATATGTTTATATGTTGCAAAAAAGAAAAATCACAGCTGAATCTGACTGGAAGATCTTATTTCTTTTATTCCTGACCTTTCATGCTTTAAGTTAATATAACACAGAGCTGGTACATTGTATCCAGCTGCACCCAGCATGCATTGATAAAATGCTAATAATAATAGTAAGCTACTTTTATCTGCTTCCATATTCACAAGGGGTCGCCACAGCAGGTAGTTCCTGATATATTCTGAATTTTTGCAGCCCTACACGCAGCCATATGTCCCACCAGTGATGCTGTGCAATAGCAGTAGTTATGTGCTTACACAACAAAATTTTCATTAGCTTTACTGAGACTCACTGGGTCTTTGTCATAACCACTTCCTGGTTGTCATTCCAGTCATTTGACCATGCTTAATTAGCTTATCGCTAGACTACTCACAGATATAATGGTTCTAGTTTCTTTTTTGTTGAATTATGCTTATTAATGATCTTAGTATGTGTCACTGTAGTTTTTTGTCTTTGGTAAATGCTATCGTGATTTATTGAGAGTTCCTCTTGCCCTGTCTTAAAGTCTTTATGTGAGCTGTGAGCATGTGAGCTGCTTTAAATCTTCTCTAAATATCTTTTCTAAAAGTGGTTTGTAACAGTTATTATCATACTTGTTAATACTGATGGGGAGAGAATTTACAAAACCACATTGGATTGATTCAAATGACTGTTTATGCTTAAGTAACAGATTTGAAATCGGTTTGAAATGAAACAATCACGATGCAGTTGAAGTGCACGCTTATATTTCTTTATAAATTAAGCAGGTTAAAAAGACTGGAGGTGATCGCATTTGAAAGCTTTGTGAGCCTAAAGCAGACGGTCAAAGGAGAAGTTAATATAAATACAGGCCATGGGTTTGCTTTGCCCAAACAAACCAAATACATCAGAAAAACGGGAAGATTAGGAGTAGACCGATTGTTTGTGTACATTCTAATGAATGTACCAAAACTGATGAAAGGCATATTCAGTTTCAGAACAATACTATATTTCTCTGAAAGTCTACAGAGCAATACTAAGATTCAGCGAAATGCAACAAAGTTGTCAAGCCAGTACAAGTGGACAATGACCCAAAACTTAATGTATGAGCACTCTGAACAGTTTGAAGATCAGGAGGAAGAATCTGCTGCAGTGTCTAAATGGCTCACCTGATTTCACCGACTGTGATGCTGCAAAGACAAAACATCACAAAGGAGGCATCGTTCTAGCCAGTCGTTGCTTTCAAATAATTTTTGACAATAAAAAACCTCATTTTATTTGGGATTATAAAATTCCATGCATAGAAGTGGTTGCTATTGCTTAACAGATAATAAACCCCTTAAAATAATTTTCTTTGACTCCTTAAGTTATTTTTGTTGGAGGCTTTAAAAAAGCTGAAAGGCTCCACTGCAACTGTATGTGCCATTTCAGACTGATGTGGTAGCATAGAGGGACAAAAATGATGAAAATTAAGTTACTGTCCAAATATATGAATGTACACTGCACTGATGTGAATTTTGAAATGCATAAAACCTATTAATCATTGCTTTGTTCAATAATGCTCCACAATGAAATAGAAATTTAGCATCACATTTTCTAATCTTGAAACTTGCCAAATGCCAGATTGTGACCCATGCAGATGTGTGCATGGGTCATTTAAGGCTTGGAGTCCACTGCATGTTTAGCGGTTATAAGCAGGTTTAGCAGTTTTTTGCCACATTGGCAGCATATAAGTTACTGCCCAAATACTTTAGTAATAAACTATAGGCAGATATTCTGACCCTGCTGACATTGTTGATCTTGTGCCGTGTTTCTTTAGTACCAACATTACAGTGGGATTGATTTTGACTGTGAGCTTCGGCTGCTGATCCATCAGAGCTTGGCAGGGGGCATCATCGGAGTGAAAGGTGCCAAGATAAAGGAGCTAAGAGAGGTAAGAGAGTCCAGATTAGCAGGATCCTCACGATGCTCTGCCCCAAAAGCTGGACTGTAGAATAATTATTAAGGTTGTAATTGTTAATGCATATTGTATCTGAAATATATTAGGATTTATTAGGACTTATTTGTGCCACCTTATTGTTGTATCTGTATTTCCCAAACGTTTTATAACTTGTTTATACTTTGAGTATTACAGATATAACTTATTTGCAGCTGTAATCAGATAATGTGGTATATGTGATCAAAATTTGGCTCGTAAGAATAAAAAAAAAAACAACTAATTATACCTCAATTAAATTCACCTGATCTGCCCATCGAGATCATCATCTTCCATATGTCCGGACAGCTGTCAGTGTACACGTTTTGATTGAGATGGGCAATTATCCGAGCCATTGTTAGCTACGCAGCTCATATGTGTATTTATGACACTAGCAAAACTGGTCTTTAGACCAGCTTTAATGGCAAATTGGTCACAGATGAAATTGATAGACTGGAAAGAAGACTAACACTTTTTGTTCTTGTGCATCAGAACACCCAGACCACCATCAAGTTGTTCCAGGAGTGCTGTCCACACTCGACAGACAGAGTCGTCTTAGTTGGAGGAAAGCCAGAGCGCGTCGTTGAATGTATAAAAGTTATATTGGAGCTGGTGTCAGAGGTGCGATTACATCATTGAGATCTGTTAAAGGGGTTAACATGCTTTATAATTATGCGGTTCATGTCTCACAGTAAGAATAATAAATTATCTATTTAATTTTCTTTTCCTTCCCCTTGCAGGCACCGATCAAAGGTCGCGCCCAGCCTTATGACCCTAACTTCTATGATGAGACGTACGACTACGGTGGCTTTACTATGTTATTTGAAGAGAGGGGCAGACGACCAATTGGTGGCTTCCCCATTCGTGTTCGTGGCGGTTTTGAGCGCATGCCTCCCGTTCGTGGCAGCAGGCCCATGCCTCCCTCCAGAAGGGATTATGATGACATGAGTCCCAGACGAGGGCCTCCGCCACCACTGAGCAGAGGACGAGGGGGAAGTCGTGCTCGTAATCTGCCTCTGCCCCCGCCACCACCACCAAGAGGAGGGTAAGGGCAGTGCTTTCACATCTGAACTGTTTTTATACTTACTATATAAAAGATGGCCATAGATAATGCCCATTACCCATTGGTGTTTTAACTCCCATTTTAAAGCCCCTGGTCGGCCGTTGCCATATGGTTAGCCAAACGTGAATGTATTTGGACTAGAGGGAGGAGTGCTAAATTGGCAACTAGGGCTATTGTTGATAGGTTGCATCCATCCATCTGGGTGCACATACATAAAACTTAAATACTATAAAAAACAGGAGCACTCACTTCTTGCACACCAGCCCATATTATGTCAGTGCTGCAAATGGCTCCAACACCACAAATGCAGCCAAAGTTCAGTCCAAATTCAAATCAGCAGAGGTGATGAGCCTAGTCAGCATTCACCCACCCTAAGTGTTATTAAAATGAAGGTGAAAATTAGCTATAGGCATTTTTTTCCTACTCTTTGTAAAACGATCTTATTTCTCCAATAAAGTTTGGATCTAAAAAGCACTATTAGATTCCTGTTAATTTATGCGTATTATGTGTATGTTTGTGTATAGGCATATATAGTGTTTCACCAACTTCTTTTTCCTTGTCTGTTATTATCCACAGAGGTGACAGGTTTTCACATGGCAGCTATCATGGTAGCATGGATGACAGACCAAGGTGAGTAGGATTGTCAATACAAAATAATTTGTCTTAAAAGCAGAAGACATTGAAAGTTCGTCAGGAGGTGAAGCCATAGTTCAGACCTGATCAGAGGTCATCAGTGGAGTCTGCTTGCCCTGTCACACGTGTCCCCTATGTTGGAGGAACTGTGTTAACATTTACCTTTTTGTCTGTAGTGACAGAAGAGGCAGAGGAGACCGTTATGACAGCATGGTGAGTGTGTTTACTAGTGCTTCTGTAATGCTAATCCGTATGTGTCGCTTCCTGCTTCTGTGTAGTTTGTGTTTGTGAATCCTGCTTTAGATCATATGATTGGAATTTCTTTTTCTCACTTTCGTACAAGCGCAGTGGCTTCAACACCAAGCTGCTTTTTTTTTCTCCCCCCACTATGTATGCACACTGATGTAGGCCTGTTGTTGCCAGGCAACTGTTGTCTCCGTGGTTACCACAGAGCAGCTGAGTACGTAGTCCGGAGATCCACCAGGCTAGCAAATGAGCAGAAGCCAAAGCGAGTCCTAAACTGTTTCCCTGTAGGTTTAAAGCTGCAAAAAAATGTTTTAATAGTAATACAAAAGCATTAATTTCATCACATAGGCATCAAGAGATGTCAGTTAATCCTTTAAAGTGATTTTAAAGTGTCTAAGAAAAGAGCAAAAACTGACGTTTATCATGTAAAGTATAATATTATTTCTTTTTCTTTGTGAAACAAGAATTTCAGGAGTGAAAGCATCAACTGATTATTTTTTGCATTAACGCTTGTCACCGCTCTACTCATCTGAGTTAACAAGTAAACATCGTCACATATAAATTAAATGCAATCGGTGTAATAGATGTGGGACTTGCAGCCAATTTGCTACTTGACAGATCTTACCCATGGCTAAGCTTTTAAGGTGCACTTTAATACAAAGAAAGGTTTACAGTAAAAGAGCTACAGACAAATGCTGGAAAAAGTAATCAAAACTACAGTGACAGCTTCCAGTTGACATTGAACTGTTCAGATGTTCAAAAGGCCTTTTTTTTTTTTTTTTTTTTTTTTAGGCCTGTATGCAAGCAGATAGTTTGTGTACTTGACAGCCATATTACTGTAAAATAGGCTTTACTGGAACTAACTGGAGAGGCAGCTGGTTATCCCTCACAGTGCATCACCGTATATGAACTATATTTATATCTTCCTTTAAAAGGATGGGTACACCTAATTTTGAATGTTAACGGTAATGCTCATTTCTTTTGAAGTAGTAAATGGAGGATGAAATAATTATTGCCCCGACTATATATTCACACGTGTTCCCACCTTAAATTGAATTGGTGTCCTTGTTTCTGAGCCATTTAAGTGGTTTATTTAAAATAAAGAAATAAATGCAGAAAAGGCCTAAATTGTCTACAGGGAAGTTGTAGCGTGATCAGCAATGCATCGTTTGTGTTTAGCAGCACAAGTCACTGACAACTTCCAGCCGAGTCACTGCACAAACCAGCAGAACCGAATCCTGGAAAGTGTAAATGTGTTTTGGGGCACGTATGGAGTCTACGAGGACTCGTACAGGCTGATTAAAATAGAAGCATATCTGTTCTATCAGACATGTGTGAGCTGAGCAGCTGAAAAGCCTCCTGTGTAAGAGGCAGCGTAGTCAAAATTGGGTTTTTCTTGAACTTCCCCACAAAAGCTGCAGCTGTTCTTGGCAGTATTGTGAACTCAAACTGATGATGCTTTTATGTGCTTCAAATATATGAACGACTGAAAGTCTCTGTGGTGATCTAGGAAGGTAAAGCTGAGTACTTTACTAACGAGTACTTTAAAGGTCTTCAACATGTGCCTTTCTGTTGGTCAACTTTATTCAAATGAATAATTTCAGAAAGGCAAATCATCACATGAAGGGGCCCAGAGTTATTTCACCCTCGGATCAAATTTCTAGCCAACAACATGGTGTTCTTATAAAGTTCAGTGTGATTTTTTTTAAAGCTTTGAAATGGATGTGCTTAATACTGTGGGATGAGTACTCCCCTTCACCTTGGTGAACATCAGATTGTTCTTAGTCTGCATGAGTGTACACGAGTTGTTTGTAGTTTAATGTAGAATGGATAGTGAGCATTTAGTTTACTCCAGGTTCTGAGAGCTTCGTCTTTACTGTGACATTCAAACTTATATTATATATATTTTTTCCCCCATCAATTGATCCTGAAATGCAGAGTGGAGGTGGATATGGTGAGTGTTCTTCTTTATTAATCTCCTGGAAAAATTCAAGTTCAGCAAAGGAAAATCAGGGCTTCTTGGACTTTATTCTCATAATTTCATCTTTTATTTTTGAGAGGTTTTATAGGAACACCACAATGCTGCAAGGCATGGGGCAACTCCACCGATCAGGCATAACATTATGACCACCTGCCTAGTATTGTGTCGGTCCACCCTTTGCTGTCAAAACATCTCTGACCCATCAAGGCATGGACTCAACTAAACCCATGTGCTGTGGTATCTGGCACCAATTGTCAGCAAAAGATCCTGTAGGTCCTGTAAGTTGTGGGGTGGGGCCTCCATGGATCAGGCCTGTTTGTCCAACACATCCCACAGATGCTCACATGGATTGAGAAGTGGGTCATTTGGAGGAAACAATGCTGAGGTAGGTGGCACGTGTCAAAGTAACATTGGTTAGACCAGGTCACCTTTTTCTATTGCTCCGTTCACCCTGACTGGTCTGTGGCTATGCAGCCCCTTAAGCAACAAACTGCAATGCACTGTGTATTCTGACACCTTTCTATCAGAACCAGCATTGACCTTGTGGTCAATTTGAGCTACAGTAGCTTGTCTGTTAAATCGCACTACACGTGTCAGCCTTCGCTCCTCACGTGCGTCAGTGAGCCTTGGCCTCCCATGACCCTGTCACTGGTTCACTGCTGTTCCTTCCTTGGACCACTTTTCGCAGATACTGACCACTACAGACTGGGAAGACTCCTCAAGAGCTGCAGTTTTGGAGACACACTGACCCAGTTGTCTTGCATTCACAGTTTGGCACTTGTAAAACTTGCTCAAATCCTTGCACTTGTCCATGACTTTCTTCTCATCAACTTTGAGGATAAAATCGTCACTTGCTCCCTATGAGATCCCATCCACTAACAGGTGTCATGATGAAAAGATGATCAGTGTTATCTCTGTCACCCCAGTGGTCATGATGTTATGCCTGATCAGTGAGTATAGACTAGCTCACAGGTTTTCTAACACACTGCCATTATCAGTTCAGCTTTGACTTAATGTGTTTAACAGTTAAGTTCATTATTTATTGAATATACTACTGTGTAAGGAAAAGATGAAACCATGCAATGTCTACCAGTTTAAAAACAGTGAGTTTCATTTAAATCATTTATTTTTACTGATAAATGAATCCGTTGATTCAATAATTGAACTGCAGCTCAAGTCTGGAACATTCTGGCTACATTCTTTACTATCACTTTTCTCTTTCCTTTGTTCTGGGGTGCATTTTCATTTTTTTCCTTTCTTTGTTTTCTTTTTGATGTTTTCAAAGACAACAGTTCTTCCTGGGATCACTTTCAGTCTGGTGAGTTGGGATCGATCGTTACTATCCCAGCGTTTTGTTTCCTAACCTATAGGGATTGTTGCATCTTCTGGCATGCTTTAGTTAAAGATGGCTTTTTCCCTCTTCCACCTTATGTGGTTTTAACTCCTCCTAGGCGGCAGAGGCTCGTACAGTGATATCGGAGGTCCAGTCATCACAACACAAGTCACCATCCCAAAAGATGTAAGCTAAAGTGAGCAATGACAAGAAAAGAGATGCCACTCCTTCATGTATGTTTTTTTTAAACTCTCCTTTACGGTTGTTGTGCAGCTGGCAGGCTCCATCATTGGTAAAGGCGGTCAGAGGATCAAGCAGATCCGCCATGAGTCTGGGGCATCCATCAAGATTGATGAACCACTAGAGGGCTCTGAGGACCGCATCATCACCATCACAGGGACACAGGACCAGATCCAGAATGCCCAGTACTTGCTGCAGAACAGGCACGCACTCCTCTGATTTTCCCCAGGACAGTATCAACACCACAGAGCAGTGAGGCCTTTCTGTGCTGACCTGTGTGCTCATGCTCACCCAAATGGAAATAATTGTATATATTTATTTTTTTTACTTTTAATCGGTCAACTTTGACTCACAGTTTCTCCAGAAAAATCTGAAATGAAAGCTAATAAGATCACTAGATTAAGCAGTTTATTAACGGAAATTGTGCAACTCTTTTGGGTAATTGATGATGAAATAATTCTGCAGTGTAAGTTTGATGGAAACTGGCTTTGGGTGGGGGAAGCTTTAAAGACGACCTTGGATCTGGACTATTTTATACTATTTTGTAACTTTTTACGGTCTGCGTTAAGATCGTCTGGCTGATTAATGAATGATGAAAACAGTGTTTCATCTTGTGGAGCTTTTCATTTCACTGTGTTCCCTCTCACCACTAAATGGCTAAGCTGGTCTCACCAGTTGGTCGGGTCGCTTCTTGCAGACAGAATTTATTTCCAGCTTTGACCTTGCGTTACTTTTTTTTAACTTACAAATGTGCTTCATGTGGAAAATGCTTAACAATTTTTCCACATCTGGATTTACAACTTCTTAACCCGTGCCATGTTTCTGTTAACATAAATATTTCTGATGTTTCGTCCTTACCTTTTATCTGTCTTTTATTTCAGCGTGAGGCAGTACTCAGGTCGGTTCTTCTAGGAAGAAAAGAGAAGAAGCAGAAGAGTGAAGCCATGCTGCCATACTGTTTGTTCCTGCTATTCAGAGCCTACATTCCTCTGCTTTGGGTAGACATGCCCCTTCCACACAAACACACACACACACTACACCGCCTAGCTGTGTTGCAGTTTTTATTTTGACAAATCTTAAGCTGTCAAACAGCAGTCAACAAGTTTTTCTGTGCTGGTGTGATTACTTTTAAGAGATTCTTGTGCCGTCACTGGAGTAAACCCATCTGTGTGATGACTTTCGGTGTTGTGAGAGCCAACCTCTGGCCCTTGTTTCTTTTATTTCAGTACAGCATGCAGAATGTAATAGTTTTGTTTGAATCATTATGTTTGTTTGATTTATTTTTTTTTCTTTCCCTTAAAGTTTTAAGCACACTTTCCAAATGAAGATGCATGGTGTTGGAATGGTTCAAAGCCTTTTGAATAAACTTCAGTTTTTACACGACCTCCAACACCTTTTTTCTCACTGTTAAATGAAGTAATGAAGTGCTTTCTTTCTTTTTCTTTTTTGAATGATGGGGTTCAGTGAGATTGTTTGGGAAATGAATTTATTTATGTCTATTACGCTAAAGTAGAAAGCAGAGAAGAATTGAGATGCCAGCCTCATGTCTGGAGGGTCAGTATGAAGCTAGCACCACAGCCTGTTGGCTTACTCTAGCACAAAAGTGAATGCATGCAGCAGAAATTCCACCCATCAGTCCACAGATGAACATGCTGTATCTTGTTGTTGTTTATGTTGTACAGAAAGAAGCTAAAATGTACTTTTGGCCTTCCTCTCAGCACAAATAATATCTGCTTGTAACCCATCGGTGCCTATTTTAGAAACCTTTCAGTTTATAATTGTACTGTGGGTGTACTTTCTAATCCGTGATGGTGCTAGCTTCATATTTTATCAGGCAGGAAATAAATAAAACCTATTTCCCAAAATATCTTTTCTTTTTTTTTTTTTTTAAGTCGGGATACTTGTGCCAGTGCGGTATGCATAAAGAAAGTTTTAAGATTTTTTTTTTTTGTGTGTAATCGTCTTTCTTTGAAAGGCAAAAAGCTGTATAAAGTGTGTATATATTTACATAAAAAACCAGTAATTTTATGAGTGTTTAGAACGGCCCAGATTACTTAATACTTTGGGGCCAAAAAACAACAAGAACAACAAAAAAAGACAGATTTGGTCATCTTTAGTTGTCCATTATTTCTTTTCTACCACTCACAGGGATGGACTCGCTGAAATCTTCCAACCTTAAGAGCTGATCAGTTGGATCCATTTTATTCTTGCATTTTTTATTTTTTATTTTTTATTTTAATTTTTGGAGAAGGATTTTTAGAGTTCTGTGAATTGATTTCTTAAGATACTTTCCCCCCCCTCTTTTCTTTGCAGTTTGATGTCAAGGGATTTGTGAGTCCAGGAGTGGTGATTTTTCTGTGTAGTACTTGCAGGTGTTTAGTAAATAAAGTCTGTGTCACAGCCCACAAAGTGTAAGTGTGTGTCTATTTGTTTTTATTTCAGCGGAGCAATACTGCGCTGCTGTCTTTGTAGTACATGTAATTGGTTTACGGACATGGTGAAGTGTGTCAGCCAGTTGCTCTCTCACATGCATCCGTAGTTCGCTGGTTAACACCGGAAATCTGCTCCTATAATGTAATAGTGAAAGCCCACACGGCTTCCCATCACGGCACAGCCCTCTGTCACATGGCGCGCCGTTGGTTTTCACTGTGGATAGAGTTGGGGGGGAGACGGGATAAAGGAGTCTTCAGGCAGAGGAGGATAACGCGATAGAAGGTTGCAGGATCTTATTTACCGAGTAGGTCTTCTTAACCACTTTTTTTAAAAATTGATATCATCTTTGTGTCATTTTGTTGCGCCTTGAAGTCAAAACTCCGCCATATTCAGTCCACCACGCCCGGAGCGTCAGCTATCACAGTCGCCGTTACAGTCTGCTCAACTTATTGCACAAAGTTAATTTCCCCTTTTACTGGAGAGGAAGAAGGTAACAGCCTCGAGAACAGCTGCTTTACTTCCTTAAATTTGCTAAACGCTTCTGTTTCCAGCTCCGGGAGGGGGGAGGCGTAGTTGCTGGAGCTTGTAGTAAAGAGTTACCGTGGGCTTTAATCATTGTGTGTTGTGACTCGAGGATACACCGAGGAAGGGAAGGGGGGAGTGTTCGCTGTATGAACAAACAGTATGTATGTGTGTTTACCTTGGAAGGTGAAGTTGTAACCAGGAATGATTTTGAGCTCCGTGGGGGCATGCTGCCTCAGCCCGGAGGCCAAAGAGGCTCGGAGGATCAACGATGAGATTGAGAGGCAGCTCCGCCGGGACAAGAGGGAATCCCGACGGGAATATAAACTCCTTTTGCTGGGTAAGAGACGGATCAAACGGTCTCTGTGACACCTCTATGAGAGGTCAGAGGTGGAACAAGTTTTCAGGACTTCCACTTAAGAAGCTGCATCCCGAAAAACGTTAGGGGGCCTCCTCAAGAGGGTCTTTGCATCTCGTCTGTTATATCAAATTAATTATTCAATTTGATACATCAAATGTCTTAACGATTTAAGAAAAAAATCTTGCATAAATATAACAGCCTTATGTTGAATATTTGTATTTACGGTTTGGACATATGAGGCAGCAAGTGCAGCTCTTAAATTCATGCAGTGCAGTGGAGAAAAAAGAAAGCTGTGTCACAGAAGACTACTTGAATAAATACAGCCTACTTAGCATCTGTCTGCTCTTTGAATCAGACCCCTCAAAACATAGATGTAAACATGACTCAGTGCACTTGAGTGTGTTATGATGCCTTTGTGGCTGAGAGGAAGCAGATTATAAACAGTGGAGTAAGAGGTGAATCCTGAATGTGGACATTAAAACCTGAAAAATAAAATAAAATAAAATAAATATATATATATATATATATATATATATACATATAAAAATGGAGGTGACGTGAATAATTCTATATACCACACAATTTACATGTTCAAAAGGGAGTAGGATGAAGTTTACATGCACGTCGTTTACTACTGAACACTGTTCCTGTCATAGGGCGTGTGCATAGTTTGCTGTGTGAGGTGAGTTAAAGTGTAAAGACAATGCAAAATGCAGTTACAGTACAGGCAACCATGCAAAACGTACTCACAGTGGGAGTTTTAACTACTTTTAGCTACTACTGTATCTCAAATGGGGGGAAAAAGGGATTAACTACACAGATTTGTAGGATTGAAATATTATGTGTACCAAATGAAGTGTATATACTTCATTTGTTGATAAGACATCAACATATGGCCTGACTGTAGTAGTTTAACATGGACCAAAGTATATGTACATTAGTGGTTTGCGGTGACATTGATCAGTGGTTGCTGTATGCGTCTCATGAGACGTATTTTAAAAAAAGAACTGGTACTACAACAAAACTCATCACAGTTTAATCTTAAGGAGAGCAGCGAAAAAAGAGAAAACAGTTGACTGTTAACAGAGCCAACTGCCTCCAGTTCTTCAGAACTGCCCATTGACAGATCTGTGCAGTGTATCTGATAACAGCATTTTTCTTCTACACAACAGTAAGCAGTCCTCTGGTATACATTGCTGGTTCAGACAGGCATGACATGACACGAAGCTCAAATACTCACTCGTCAGTTTTTTTCCTTTTACGAAATAATATGCGACTAGCCTTGGGTCAACTAGTTTTGTAGCATTTTTGTGGTTAGCCACGAGCATGTTAGACTGTAGCTTCCTGACCCTAGTTTGCATTTATAATCTCTGCATGATTTGGAGACTTTATGAGGTATAAAGATGTGACAAATCTACATGTATTAGTAACATAATTGCTAACAGTTATACCTGGAAGTGTGATGAGTCCTCCCTCATCAATCTCACTTTAGTTGATGGTATACATTTTGTTTCAACTTCCTTTAGAATTGGCCCCATAAAATCTAGTATGGCATGGGCTCCACACACCGCTGTCATTTAATCTGTACAGAAAAGAAATATTAGTTGCAGTCCTCATCTGTATACTACAGGGCACCGGGTGCTTCATTAGTTCCTCCTTGCTCCTTTCTACTTTCAGAGCTGCTTTAATTTGTAGTGTCACAGATTCATTGAGGTGCTGGAAAAACTTAACATTTAACAGCAGAGATTTTGGTCCGTATTGACGTGTCAGCATCGCACAGCTGCTGAAGATTTGTTGGCTGCACGTCCTAAATGCAAATCCTCTGTTTCACCATATCCCAAAGGGC